CGTAAGCTAGTATTTTTATAAATAACTATTGTATTGGTAGCATCTATTTCATATTATAATAATATTTAATAGGCACATCGGGGCTTATCAATGGGTAAGGTATCGCGTGACGCCACATTTTAGCCACAATTTACTTCTTCAGCTTGATTAGTTTCACGGAACCAAATCCGTCCGGTGGCTGTGCTAAAGAACAGGAGAGTTGTGGAGTTGCCTTTTTATAGATAAAACGGTAGTTAATATGGAATAATAAATAAACAGTAGATGAGATACTATATATTTTTTAGTGTACATATATTTATGAAAAAAGTATAGAGAACATTTAATAATGCCAATGAATAAATAAATCAAACCTTTTAAATACATGGTTCAAGGTAACAGGTCAAGTATGTCAAATACGAATTAGAATTATAAATCGCTTTATTCTGAAGTATTAACAATATGTTTGTTTTCTATATCTTTAATAATATTATAAAGAGGAAAATTTGTATTTGTGTATGTATTGTAATAATTAAAAAACAACCGGACCGATTTCAAAAATGCTTTCAACATTACAAAACTACGTTTTCGCTAAGTTACATTCGCTAAATTTTTTAATTTTCATGTGGACGAAGTCGCAAGCATCAGCTAGTCTTAAACATTTGATGTTAATATTGGGTACAATAAAATCATGAAACTTCTCCTTCACTACTAATAAAGGGGGAAAAAACTACGGCGTCTCTACAGTTTTCTTATAGAACTCTGTCCGTACAATATTTGGGTCTCTCATTACTGTGTCAATGTAAGATTAGGGATAAATCTAATTTTTCCACGATGAAAAAAAGAAACAAACCATTGAAATAAGTGAGTTTTTTACCGTCGCCCGCCTAGCCCGGGACACAATTACGCCGCAGGACTGAATGAAATTAGGCATTGTAAAAAATAACCAACCTGTCGATGGTGGAATACGAATTTCTTGTGTTCTTTAAACGATTACAATACCCTTAATAATAATATGCAGCCGCGTTTGATTGACAGCTCGCCGTAAACCCAACGTTTGTGGCGCCGAAGCGTTTAAAAAAATTCGGACAATCTCCCGATTTGAAATTCGAATCGATTCGAATTAGCCGACGATTATCGTTGAAAATTTTCTACGTAGCATATGTTCGAATTTTAAAATTCGAATTTGCTATCGATTAATTTAATTATTTCGTTTATAAGCAAAAAGATGTTTCTGTTCTTTTTACTAAATACAAAATAATATAGACACTGATTAATGGTTAAAATAAGTAAATTATATTATTTTAATTTGTCATTTTATTAAAGTATTTTTATTGTTTTTAACTAAACATTTGAAGCAATGCGTCACTACAAAAGTATAGGTATTGATTTTGAAAGCTAATAGTTTGGTAAACTGCCACGAAATTCTAAGAAAGAAGTTCAAGTCTTTGCTGATAGATGGCGTTAAAATAAAGTGAAAAATTAGCATAGGGTTTTATTTTCTTTATTTTAATTGTAAGATGTACAGATAGTACTCATGCCTGTGGTACGTTGTACTTATTACTTCCATGCCATGGAAAGAACACATAGGCTATTTGCTTTTGTTTTTATTAAATTCCACGCGGACGGATTCGCGGACGAAAACGTGTAGTATTAGTTTCGAAGATTTACGTTTCCTTGCATACAAAAGGCTTAACTGTACACCTTGATAATAATGAGACATTTTATAAATGTTTTGCGTCCAAATTAATTCCACGTTCATTTTTAGTCCACAGCTGTGTTAAATTCTTGAATCGTATAGTATCGGAATTATTTTCATGAAATAACATAACTCACACCCATAATCCTGAGGGGCAGGGACCACGGACAACCTTCTTCATTACATCTAGATTGTTTGACATATTGTAAAGGTGACTAAAAGTGTGAACTTTACATGAGTAGGTATAACTTTTCCTTTACGAATTCCTTTTGCCCTAATTCTATTGCTTCACTTCCTTTTAGAAATGAACTATTACACATCTATACTATTATAGTAAAGCGTAAACACACACTTCTTTGTTGCCTAAGATGTCAGCAATTACATCATATTTTTTAATAATTCTTTATTTAATAAAAAAAAAACCCGTTTTTTCGTCATTAAACTTAGGGGGTAAAATTTTTGGATAAAAACCCTAATGTGGGAAAGAGACCATAAGTTGTTGCCAACATCAATGAAGCAAGGTTGCCATGGTTTGTCATGTCATGTCATTTTGACATTTGCAATTGATAATTTGGCACATGTAAACAATATAATAAAATTTTCATAATTTTATGCGGATGAAGTCGCACGGGAACAGCTAGTTAATGATAAAACTATTCGCCTATCTACTGGAGAATCATTGCTTTACTTCCCCGAGAAGTTGACAAGGCGTTATTTGCAAAAAAATGTGTTGAATTTTTTTCTTAGATTCGTTGAAAAGTGGGAGCATTGGAATATGTAGGCGTCAATATTGCCGTTCAGACGTGGGAGTCTAAGATTTAAAGACTTGAATCAAGAGTTAAGTATATGCGTTTACTAACTTAGCGTGTACCATTCGGTGAGTGGTCAAGGGCTGGTATGTTCATATAAAAAAAAGCACGGATAATAATTATATCCACCCCAGTATAGTAAAAAGCGTGATGTATACAATAAATGAACAAAATAAAATTACACTTCACGCGCAATTTTCATCTTTAAATTACCCATTTTATTACTAACTCTAAGTTATGGTTCAATTAATTTGAAAACATAACGAAGTAAAGAATTGTTTTAAGTAAATGCGGCTTCATACGCTAACTAGAAATAATTTTTATGCCACATTATAACAATAAAGCAAAAAATAATGCCGCTTTTATGGACACTTGTCCCTAAAATTTTACTACGCACCTTCCGCCGCGAATCACAGGAGGTAGCGTTTTATTATTTATTGATGTACCATTATATTTAATTCTTTCAATACAAATATTATCAAAACTACAGCCACCGTTAGGTCTATTATCAGTGATTATACGTAATTAATTGCACTGTAGGCAGACAATTAAATAACAACACTGGACGGTACAAGAAAAGGGCAATCGGGTATCAAGGAATAAACTTCATTGCCATTAATAAAATCTAGAACTTTCTGCTCATTAACAATGCCACCCCACGCTTAAATGAATAATAAAGATTACCAAAAAACTAACAGATGTAGATATTATTGAAAGTTAATTATTATTATTAGTAGTAATTATTGAAATACATCAGTCGCGGTTCACTTCCAACTTGGACCAGCTCCACAATCAAAGTAGACGTTCGTAAAATGCGTGAGTTTCGGCAATTCGTTTGTGATTTACCGTCGGGGATGTCTCTGCAGACGGGAGGGGGCGGTCGTAAATCATAAAGCTTTATAGTTACACTAGTCGTGTACCCTGTCTTCGCTTAACTTTAAGTAAATAAAATCATGTTTTTAATCTTGTTAATATAATAAATGCGAATAAGAAGTATGGATGGATGTATGTTTGTTATAGTAGTCTAAACTGCTGAACGGATTTCGATTAATGATAGATGTCGTTGATAGTTTACAAGAACACATCGGCTGCTTGCTTTCTTTTATTTTAATTCCACGCGGACGGAGTTCCTGGCAAAGCTAGCTTTAACATTTTATTGGTTATGGTGTCCGAAGCAAATAAAAAATCAATTTGTTTATCAAAACTTTCTTAACTTAAAATTAATAAACTATTTTTTTTATTTTTTTAAATCATTAACCATACCTAACTGTTTGAAGTTTGTTACCAGCGATATTAAAAACATATTTTATAAATTATGGTATAAATCAGACTACTGGGTATCTACTCATTAGTAAGTAAAAATATAACATTTTTAATATTAGGCAGTAAATGCATAATATGTTTCTATTAACTGGTGTTTACATTCTTCCTTTAAGAGGAAACGCGGAAGACAACACAAGCGATGGGAAGATGACATAAAAAGGCTGCAGGAGAGACCTGGTCAAGAAACCTAAAAGAAGGGGAGAATGGAAAAATTTGGAAGAGGCCTATGTCCAACTACACACAGATAATAAATAACAAATCAAATAAAACGAAAAAAAAAGATAGTAAAATTTAATTAATTAATATAATTCAATTTAACTTATTAAAACTTTCGTGAGACATTATACTATATAAATTATAACACGGCTAAACTCACGTGAGTTTAGCCGTGTTATAATTTATATAATTCAATTTATGTAATGTCACAGTAATTTAATTGTTTGAATAAAGGCTTATTATTATTATTATTATATATTCTTCCTGATTAGCCAGTAAGGTTTTTGATTACTGTTAAAAAAGGTTTATTTAATTACGAATTTAGATTTTACATATAGTCTTAAATCTGCTATCTGTTCCGGTGGGGTTTCATTCGAACGACATAATAAAATTTATTTTATTGTTTACATTACGAAAATAATTGCAAATGTAAAAATTTCAATGCTCAATGAAAACTTTTATATTATTGAATAGTAGGTAATTTGGGCCAAATATTGTAAAGCGTTTGTTCTAACTTTGTGTAAACGTAATTATAAGGTTTCTTTATTGTACATTTAACATGTAACGTGAAGTCAATTAAAATAAGGTCATCAGATTAGAATGAAATACTAATTGACGAAGCAACTTTATTACTGTTGATAAAATATTAAAAATATATACGAATAAAATATCAAACTGTTCAAAGAAGCACATTATTATAAAAAAATATATTCAAAAAGCAATGATATTTGATAATTGATTGAGTAAATTCTCTGACTTCATACTTAAGGCCTGTCCCACCATGTAAATTGTCTGATAACAATCCAACATGTAAAATATGTGATTGAAATATCGGATTTTGTTACCTTATCTGACAGTAAGGTCATTTTTAAGCCATCTGAGCTTCTATCAGCCTGTGGTGGGACAGGCCTTAAACGAAAGTATTGATTGTTAGATGTTTGTTAGAGTTTGTAGCCTAAACGCCTGAACAGATATCGATGAGATTTGGCATAAATATTGACCACAGCCTGGAAGAAGAAGAGAGTAGTAGAGAAGGTAAGGAGTAAAAGGTTAGCATGGTATGTTATGAGGAGGGATGAATCGCATGTTACAAGGAGAACGTTAGTTATGAGTGAAGGGTACATCGGTAGAGGTAGACCTAGAAAGAGATGGATGGATAGTGTAAAAGGTGACATGATCAAAAAGGGAATGATGACTGAGATGACGTATGATAGAGTTATGTGGAGGACAAAAACCTGTTGCATCGACCCTACGGGAGTAGGATAAGGGGATGATGATGATAGAGCACAGTGGAAGAACACATAGGCTACTTACTTTTTTTTTAATTACACGCAAACAGAGTCGAAGAGAGTTTAAAAACAACTATGCAGTTAACTAGTTAGCATACGTCAAATGAACAAAATATAATTGCGATTTTCTTCCTTATATCATTAATGTCCGGCTTCCCAGCTACGTTTAACCATTCGTTAGTTTTGGTTCGATAAATTCATGAAATAAGTTTCTGAACTACGTAACTTGAGTTTTACTCCTATGAAACAGTTCAACCTAACACTAGTTAGACTTCTAGGTAATTCTATTTCTGTTCTAAATGAATTACAAAATCATTAAAACAAAACATCCTGTTAATCACGTTATACTTTTACTGTTTTTATAATGTACTAGCTGTTTTCGTGCGGTGTTATCCGCATGAAAATTTTAAAAAAGATATTGTTTACATTTGTCAAATTCTCAATTGCAAATGTAAAAATGACCGGTACCATAATAACCTTGCTTCCTTAATGCTGGCAGCTTGTAGTTTATGGTCCCTTGCCTATATGAAGGTTTTTTCCAATTTATTTACCCCCTAAGTTTAATAGCGTGAAAATATATAGCCTAAAGTGTGACGTAAGTGTTGGGCTTTTTGTTAAAAAAAATTATTCAAAAATATGCTGTAACTGCTAATGTCTTAAGACACAAAGTAGCTTGTGTTTACGCTTTATTATTTTAGTATGGACGCGTAGTCTCAAAACTTAACTAAGTTAACCGCAACAAGCTTATAAAATTATAATTAACCAGTTCGCTAAACAAGAAGTAAAGGGACTTAAAAACCCCTATCATGAACGAACACAAAGGCGTCGCTAAACTGCGTAGGCCCTTTTCCCTTGTTACCGAAAAAAATGAAAATATTTACAAAAGGGCCGCCTGTCTATTTGGGTCGACGGCTGAGGGGAAAATGCGAAAATTCGCCCTCTAACGGCAGCCATCTTGTGACGTCATTGCTATCGTAAAGGGACGGATTCGGACAAAGGAATTTTTATTCTTAATTAGAGTTTTATTTATAAGGTTTAACAGAAATTATATTATATTTAATAGTGTTTTCTGCTTATTACATTGTTTAAAATATCCTATGGATTAATGAGCAATTAATTGATTGATTTGATCGTAAAATAAATTAAAAAAAATCATTTATGTCTTAAAAACGGTTTGTCTATAAAGATGACATTATTTTACAGTAACAATTAATTTTATAGATTTTATTACTATTAGAGAAACATAAAAATATATCTCATAAAGCCATTCGGCGAGCATGGTGGTAAAATAGAATTGTTATGTAATCCCAATAAAATATACATAGTAATTGAAAGCGACGTTTTCTTGTCGACGTCAATGTTGCAACTGACATTTTAGAAGTTACTCTCGAAATAAAAGCGAAAAGAAAAAAAATACGTATCGACAAAAAGCGCAAAAGAAATCGCTTCAGAATTGTTTTGAAAAATAAAAATGAACGTCAGTCAATACGTCCCAGTGCGCTTTGAAGTCGACGGAGCATTCTGATTGGGTGGTTAAGAGTTTGGGGCGTGTTTTTAGTAAGCACCGCCTATCGCCGTTAGGGGTCTTTGTGATCGCGCCGCCAAACCACATCGGGCGCTCGCCGGCGGCGCCACGCGTGCACCACCCTAACCTCAAATTCAGACACGTGAATAAAAAATTCAGGAACCGATCGCGATTGTAGACAGGTGCGAGCTTAATACAAAGTGAACTTTCCAGTGCTAAAACGGTTGCAGACTAAAATTCAATAAGTGGTATTCCAGTTTGTGATGTTAGCTGCATAGGAGACGGTGTAATCGATAACGCGGTGACCTCTGTTGTATAGCGTGAACTCAAGACTGAGCATATAACGTATCTAAACAAATATGTGCAATTGACAATTTGTGAACATTGGAAAAATCACCGAAATCTTCCAATTTGAATTTCTCAAACAAAACATTTAATCACGCTCAAAGAATTCTTCCAAAAACAGCTTAAAGTGATAATCTTATTAACATTTAATAAAAAGAAAAATTACTAGGAAATTTCATTGAATCAACAAGGTATTCGAAAGGTCTAGAAATCAATCCAATAATTTGACATACGATTTTATTCAATAAAACTCAATGCATCTTAAATTAACGGATAACTTTAGCAAAAACATCTTTGTCTAAAACAAAGAGTGTAGATTTACCGGCGGAAGTAATTATCGCTTAAACGTCAATATCGAGGCCACAAGCAGTTTCTTAATCAATATTCAATTCTAGCATCCATTGCTTGGATATAATTCTTTTGTTAACGTTTCTTGCAATTTGTTGTAGAAAATCTAGTAAGTGTTTTTTTTACAATGAAAGTTAAAGCCCGGATTAAAGTAAATTTTTAGAACTAAAAACAGATTTAGGGAGTAAATTAAATGAAAACAGATATTCAGAAGTGAATAATAAAGTTGACAAAATCAATGAACTAGAAATTGATAAAACATTGACTATAGTGGACGTTGTTACGTATGGTATACAATAGATGCAGCGTTATAACTTAGATGATAAAGAACTGGATCTGAATAAAACTCGATTGATTACTTAATCGGTGTATTGTACGGTTGGTGAGTCCCGCATGGGGTATTCTTGAGTATCGTGCCGGGAGAAGCGCGGCCGTCGCCCCTGGCGCCGCCAGCCGTCAAGATAGCCACAGAGTCGAAGCTGGCAGTGTGCGGCGGCTGGGGGCAGGCTGGCTACGCACTCGAGGGCTGCGTGGACCCCGGTCTGCTCCGGCCTCCGCAGCCGCACTCGAACCAACTCGGCACCGTGTACGCGACGAAGAGGAGAAGGAGGAATGGAAAGAGGTAAGACCAGAAAAATGGTGTCAGAGAAGAAGCATAATAAAGAAATTTGTTATAATTAATAACGCCCATTTTTACTTAAAAACTGTTGAGTTTTTTGACGATTTTGGTTTGAAATAAAGTCTTAAATTAATAATTTTAAAGAAGTCACGAAAAAATAAATTCTGCTTCCTATGACTTGTACAGATGTTTTATAATATTTTAATGTATATTGTTTGTGTAAAGTTAAAATTCAAATAAGGTTATTTGAAATAACTAACAGTTCTATATTCTAATGTAAAATTTAATTGGACGATGTCGTTTTTCTTATCTTGTTCTTTATTAGTAGTCGCGAGAAAGCTGTTGCTGAAACAATGTTCTGTTTGCTGTATTAATTAAATTTACTAAGAGACAACACAACAATTGCTATAAGGAATTATAATCGTCATCATCAGCTCACTGTCCCGTTTGAAGGGTTTGGAGCCTACCCTAGAAGTGACTAAGCCATAGTCAACTCTGGCCTACTGATTTCACATTACATACCAAATTGCATATAAAATTTGCTCATAATCCTTATCTTGTTGTTTCTGCTTTAAAATTAACTCGACCGTGGTATTTACGCTTTCACAGAACGATACATTTCGCATTAAAGTTTTAATATTTATAAACAGTTTTAATCTTCATATGATTGGGTTTTAATGTCAGTAACTCGATGGCTCCGATTATACGATATATCCTACTGTTAGAAAAATATTTAATGGTTTCTAAGTTAATTTGATGATAAATATATGAATTTTGACGTTATTATATTCCAGTTGTCCATTCTGCATTGTCTTTTATATTTGATATTAATAAAAATACAATAAAAAAAACTTTTATAAATTAAACGCTGTTGGTCGCGACTTCGCCCGCGTGAAATTACATAGCCTATGTTACTCATTGATATATCTTTTTAATGGTGAAAGAATTTTTGAAATCGGCCCAGTAGTTGAGTTATTTCAATACGTACCAAAATACAAATATTTCCTCTTCATAATATGAAGAGCTTGCTCACTTTTGACTAAACTATCGCATCACTGTTTAGTCTCGCTTTGATTCCTATAAGCTTATATGGAAGTGGGCATAATACTAGATTTTTAGTTGTGCAACTAAACAGTTGAATTGGCTGCGAAACAATCGACAATCGATAGTTCAATCAAACGTGTGTGACCGCTCTTGTTATGATATTTGTTGACCAAAGTAATGACATCTTTTATTATATGTCCTAGCTTGTTTTCTAAATTTAAAAGCATATAATTGTGTGAATTATTTAACAGTTTTACTATTCGGATATTAAATCTATCGATTAAAGTAAAAAAAATCGATATTCGTAACAAATTGATTTACAGTAAATACGGCATCAAAAACATCCCGGATGATTGACAATATTATAACGGAAATTTCAACCTTAAGTAAATAAGTTTTAGGCACATTCAAGCTTGTTTCAAAAATGGTATTTATTAAACGAAGATATCAAGTTACTGGAAGAGTCTTATTATACGATCCAATTGAATATTGTAAAAATGTTATTCTTTGCAAGCAAAAATATTACTAATCTAAGAAAACATTTACGTATCAATTTAAAAAATCACACTTCACATTATAACCAAAACGCCGGTCTCCCTTACTTATGTATGCCGTAAAGTTTCATTTAATTTTTGTGTTAAAAAACCGTATCTATCAATTAAAATTGAACCAGTTATCTATCGATCGTGCCTCAAGTTATTGCATAGTTTATTTTCAATACCGAAGCGAATGTATTTTTAATATACGACAGTAAATGAACACGGGCGTTGCCATACTATGTCGTTTCCAGTACTTTATAGCTACGTTGTAAAGAGCGTACAAAATGGCGCATTCAAAAATTAGTCGCGGCCTATTATATTGATTCGATTAGTAATTTATGGGGTGAGTAATGGGCGTTATATCGATACAGTTGAATCGATTCTTGCCGTGAACGTACGACCGTGCGGCGATTATTGTTAATCGAGTGATAATCGAGTAACGGATCAAGATGACTTCGCGGATACGTCTCTATTCTGCGGATATAGATGCATATTTGTTATAATTTTAGTCTCTATCAGATTGCTTTAGATTTAACTTTTTACACAATATACCTACCTAGTTTTTCCTCTTAGAGACATTTGGAATGTAGGTTAAATCCACATTTAGATTATTCATATATCTTTGATGTACATCAGATATGAAATTAAGATTATTTGTATATATAACATATGATAAGCTCAGTTACTACGTAATTGATTAAGTTTAATATACTTATGATATATGGTATGGACATGTTATGAGGAGGGATGAATCGCATGTAACAAGGAGAACGTTAGTTATGAGTGCGGTACACTGGTAGAGGTAGACATAGAAAGAGATGGATGGATGCGTGAAATGTGACATGATTAAGAAGAGAGTGATGACTGAGATGACGTATGATAGAGATATGTGGAGGATAAAAACCAGTTGCGCCGTTACGGGAATAGGATAACGAGATAGATGATCTATGATACATGAAGGTTTTTCAGTTTTTAATTGATTTTATTTTTTATTGTAAATACGTTTCATTGTTTTAAATATCCACTTCCTGAAATAAATCTTAAATCCATCAAAGAGGTTGCATGTAGACGTTACTTAGAAAATTTATTAATCTAATCAATTTTGAATGGTAAAACATTACAATTAAGTTTCTTTTTTTAATTTCGAAACACCCTGTATCTGTTGAAATGTGTATAAAAGGTTAATTTAAATCGTTTTATGTGTTTTAACAAAGATAACTTGCGTCTTAACGCCTACAGTAGCATTTATATTGATTTATTTTAACGAAGATATGATAGCGAAGGTGTTCTTAAGTGTTTTAACAGAACAAGTTTCGGTTCAAAGTTATTTGGAATTATCTCTTAATTACTAAAAAAAACTTATATTTAATACTGAGAACATAATTCTAACAGTCACCGTTTAATAGTGTTTTGTTTTCTCCGTGTTCGAATTTTAAATTATTTACATAAAAATTAAAACATCTTTTTCTTCTTTTTTATACATGATAAATGTGTGCTATGAGTAGCCACCTTAATTCGTCAAAACCAACCACTACCCATAGACATCCGCAATTGCAAAGCTTAATAGACGGAGGAGGCGTCACAAAAAGGATTCCTCTTCCTATCTTCCCTCTATCTCTCCGTCTTCTCCACTAGTCCATTAAAATTCTCCAAGTACGGTAATTCTCTCTTAAAATGACGTAGATAAATCTATCTAAAACATGATATTTGTAAAATAATTCACTTAAACCAGCCGTCGACGTGTTCAAACGGCCGTGCGAGTGGACTGGGGTGTGCTCGGGAACCATAAGACACCTTAATTACCATCGAACCCCACCTCACTCGGCAGATGGGAGATAAGCAACTGCTGTGGCATATGCTATAACGTAACTTTTAATTATTATTTTTATAAATTTTACAATTACCATACAAATATGAATAACTATTGCCCGCGACTTCGTCCTCGTGGTATTAGAAAACAGACTAACTATGTAAATTACGTGTCCCTTGGGAACCGGACATTTTTCGGGGATAAACCTTATCCATTGTGTACTCCAGACTTTGTTTTATATCTGTGCCAAATTTCAATAAGATATGTTGAACCGTTGCAGAATTATCAAGTAAACATCAAAATACAAAATTAATGCATCCCACGGGAACCGTAACTATTCCAGGGATAAAAAGTAGCCTATGTGTTCTTTCAGTTCCGATTTTTATGCAGATCCGTTCAGCCGTTTAGGCTACAAACTCTAACAAACATCCATCTAAACTTTCGCATTTATAACATTTATATGATTAGTATAATATGCTTTCGGCGCGATAGATTCCGCGCATATTAAAAAACTTAGCAATCTGTGTATTCTTCCAGATTATATTATCTTATCCAGATTATATTATTATCTTAATCTATCCATTCAAACTGTCGCATTTTTAATATTGGTGAGTTATTGTTCAAGAATCAGTTAATGACTGTTTAAAACAGACTAATGTTGTCTAACATTTGTATAATAACTCTAAAGAAATCTACTGTTTAATACCAATACAATATCTCGTATGGACAAGTACTGAAACGAAGTCTTAATATCAATGGAATTTAGAGGTTAAGACTGACTTTATAAATTAGTTATTTATGTTTATGTCCAGTATTCGGCTGTTAGTTAGGTAACTAATTATAGAAGTGAGAATTAGTATCGTATTTTGTTACTCTAGAAAAAAAATTCGAAACGTTTTGTAGCCGTTCCGCCAATCAAATAGAAAAGCTTTGATTAATTTATGTTGTCCCTATTAAAATTTTAAGACTGATTATTCTATACTTGATTGATGTTATTAAATGTTTTTCGATACATAAACGAATCGCGAATTCAGACACGGTAGCTTATATTGCGAGGTGCGCACGCGCCGGCCCACCTGCCCCGCAGATGGTCAGTACTGACTGATTGCTGGTTTACTTACGTACGATTCTAAATATTCAACTACGGTTGTTTTAATCTTTATAACTGTTCCCGTGCGACTGCATCCAAACGACATGAATTAAAAAAAAATAAAGAATAAAAAATTCAATTTAAAGTTTTTAAAAAATGTATCCAAACGACACTATAATATTTTTTTTTATTGTATATATGCCGTAAAACAATCAATTTCAAATGTTCTAATACTTAATGAAGACTTGCTATTGGATGAATATTTAAGTAACCATAGCAACCTTGATTCTTTGCTGGTTCTTGTAATTTGGTTACTTTCACGCAGGGTGCTTTTTTTTTGAACCTGAAGTGTGTCGTACGTATAGTTCTTATTAGAAAAAAGTGTTTGTTTTAATGCCTAACACCTAATAAAAAATAATAGAAAATATTATTAAAAAAAAAATTTACACATCAAACTTAACTACATGTCCACCACTCTAAAGAAAACTTCAAATCAACTTACCTCACACGTCAAAATCAG